ATATTCACAGGAAGGCCAATCTCAATGGATGCTTTAGCCTAAGACTAAACATGGTGGAGACACCAGCAATTCCTCCCTGACACAGGTTTCCACTTAAGGGCTGTCTTGGCTGCTGAGTTTTCTGGTGATCTGGCCAAGATTTTCTTACAGTTTACAATTTTCTCTAGTCACTCCATCTATTTTCGCCTTGCCCATCAGGTGTCAGGCCTGTGTTGTGGTCCCAATATTCTCCCTTCCTAGTCCTGTTTCCTCTCCTAATTATGCTTCCCAGGCAGCCATCCTTGCCAAAACACTCACTAATTAAAATTCCATCTCGGTGGCTGCTTCACAGAGGATTCTAATGACCAGTGCTAAGTATGGTTGGCTGGTGTGGCCAGATTACTCGCTGCCATTTCAGTGAAGGAACATATAAAGATTCCCCCCATCAAAACACATTCACTTAATGAGAAATTAATATTCTAAGATATGACTCCCACAGCTGATGAAATGAAAGCCAATTCGAAACTATAACAGAAATATGTATTGATTTTTTTTTCGTTTTATACATCTCTATTATTCCCAAGCCAGAGATTCTGTGAAGGGCATGATTATTTATGTCCCATCCAATTAATAGATCGTTTAAATCTCTCACAGGACCTTTAACTAAAAACGCTTCAAATTCTAACAAAAGTGTTTTTTGGCTGTTTCAAACGTGCATTCTTTTGGAAGAATGACAGTAGGGAAAAGCACTATCAAAATGCAAGTCAGCAAGCACCTAGAGAGATAAGGGAACAATAGTTTCTGAAATATTATCCTTTGTACTCTCAACTGAACCATAAGCCAAGTGGCTATTAGCTCTTTTTCCCCTTCCTCCAGTTTTATGTTTTGATAATTTCACTTATTTGTATGTTTACCTGATTCGCTCATTTGGCTAACACTTTTTTTTTTTTTTTTGCTTTTTGCTTTTTGGGTCACACCCGGTGATGCTCAGGGGTTACTCCTGGCTCTGCGCTGAGGAATTACTCCTGTCAGTGATCGGGGGACCATATGAGATGCTGGGAATAGAACCCGGGTCATCCACGTGCAAGGCAAATGCCCTATCTGAGGATATACTTTTTGTCCTATTCACATGAATTATTCCTTCGCAAAGCTTACATTGTATTTGGGGTTTGGGGAATACATGCTGTTTGGTTTTTGAGGCCTCACCCTCAGTACTTGGGACCTACTCTTGGCTCTGTGCTCAGGAATGACTTCTGGTAACACTCACAGGACTGTACGTGGTACCAGGCTTTGAACCAGGATTGGTTACATGACTACATAAAGTAAGAGGAGTACTTTACATCCTTAGGTGAAAAGAAGAAAGGAGTGTATTGTCCTGGGGCTATCCCTCCTATACACTCTCTGGCCTAAAATCTATACTTTAGAAGGTGATATGTGGGTAAATATATTTACAAGGGTATTGCACAGCGGGTAAGGCGTTTGCCTTGCATGCAGCCAACATGGCCAGCCCGAGTTCGATTCCTCCGCCCCTCTTGGAGAGCCTGGCAAGCTACTGAGAGTATTCGATATGCCAAACACAGTAACAACAAAGTCTCCAATGGAGACGTTACTGGGCCTGCTCGAGCAAATCGATGATCAACGGGAGGGCCTTTACTTTACTTAACTTTACTTTACTTATGAGAAGAAAAATTAGAATAAGGTATGAGGCAGGGTGGGTAGTTTCATGAGATAAGGAGAGTTTTCTGAGGAAACAAGACGTGAAGTGAGATCTGAACTAACAGAGGGAGAAACCCTTGCTGCGAGCTAAGAGAGGGACATTTCTGAAAGGGATCAGAAAAGATAAATATAAAGGCTAGAAGAGAAACATATCAGAAGGCTGGAGAAGAAGGAAGCATCATTCTAAGGCCATATGTGCCGATCTGGGCCTGACTGAATGAGTGTGCCAAGCCATGATCAAGCAGAATGAACATATAGCACCACTGCCGAATAAATATGAGACCATTCTTTTCAGATAATTCTTTTCTGCTGGTCTCTGATTTATAAATCAGAACTTAAGCTGAAACCAGATCTCAGGCAATTCTGCAACTATCCCATGCCAGGTAAAGTATGCCGACATGTCACAGCCTCTTAGAGGGTAATTGTGGATAATGAGGAAGGATAACATGATTATGCCAGCACACAGCTCATGAACAAAACAATCTCCATGCAGTGAAATGTAGGGATCTCTGAGCTCAAGGAAACAATCTCCATGCAGTGAAATGTAGGGATCTCTGAGCTCAAGGAAACAATCTCCATGCAGTGAAATGTAGGGATCTCTGAGCTCAAGGAAGCCTACTGCTTATGTTAACAGATGGAATCTCTTTCACTTATCATTGTGGAAGTAAGACTATGTGGATGTACTCAAATGCCATACTGGTGGAAGAATAAAGTACCTGTTCTAAAGATTCTAGAAATCTTCAAAGTGTATGTCTTTTTTGCTAAAAGTAGTCTATAGACCAAACATGATTGCCACTCAATGCCTCTCTGGCAAAACACAGTACCCAAAAGAAGAGAGAGAGAACAAGGGGGAATGGCCTGCCACAGAGGCAGGGTGGGACGGGGGGGGGGGGGGTTGGGAGAGATGCTAGGACCCGTGGTGGGGGAGGATGGGCACTGGTGGAGGGATGGGTACTTGATCATTGTATAACTGAAACCCAAGCACAAAAATTTATAAGTCTATAAATGTACCTCATGGTGTTTCACTAATAAAAAAAATGATTAGATAAAAAAAAAACCCAACAAAGTGTATGTCTTTTTGTTTGAGGAGCTTTTGTATATTTTGGGGCCATACCCAGTGGTCCTCTGGGACTAGTCTCCGCTTTATGCTCCAGGAATAGTTGTTGTTTTTTTTTAACTTATTATTTTTTTTTAATCTCGGGGACCACACCCAGCAATACTCATGGCTTACCTGGCTCTGCACTCAAAAATCATTTCTGATGATACTCTGGGGACTCTTTGAGAGTGAGGAAGCATACCCTAGTCAGCCTTGTGCAAATTAAGTGTCCTACCTGCTATATTCTTTGGCCTCAGCTCCAGGGTTACTACTGATGGTGTTCAAGGGATCATGTAAAGCTACAGATCTAAGGTGGGTCCCCCACAGGCAAAGCAGGAACTATCTCTAGCTCCATTTTGTTTTAGGGTAGTGGTGGGGTTTGATTTGAAAAACAAATAAACAAGCAAAACAAACTCTCTCACACACACACACATACATCCCAAAACAAAAGACAGGGGAAGAAAGATCTACTTTTCTGTTTTTTTTTTTTAGGGTTATGTTTTGGGGCCACACTTAGCAGTGCTCGGTGTTACTCCTGGCTCTGCACTCAGGAATCACTCTTGGAAATGCTCAGGGCACGCATGCAAGGAAATAGCATGATGTGCCTTACGTGATGTACAATCTCTTCAGCCCTAAGATCTATCTTTTACGATATTTCAAATTGAGCGATAGCACAGCGGTAGGGCGTTTGCCTTGCACGCAGCCAACATGGCCGACCCGAGTTCGATTCCTCCGGAGAGCCCGGCAAGCTACCGAGAGTATTCGATATGCCAGACACAGTAACAACAAAGTCTCCAATGGAGACGTTACTGGGCCCGCTCGAGCAAATCGACGATCAACGGGAGGGCCTTTACCTTTTACCTTTTTTAGTCAATGAAGTCTTCAAGATGATGGGGGAACGAGGCTCAGAACACATAACACATTGCCCCAAACACCAGTTTCTTTGCATTTCTCAGGCTTAAGTACTGTACGATGCATGTCCTATTACTTCCTTCCAACCATGACTGCTACCCACAGCCAAACACATATGCACAGATAAAATCCATTTTGCAATAGCATTTTGTTCCTCAATGGAATAGTCCTACAACCCCTTTTCTATAGAGCTCAGTGTGAGGGTATGCACTGCAAACACAAAGTGAAGTGGAGAATTGAAAGGTAGCAGTGGAAACTTCCTTCAGTGAACACCTCTCTAATGTATTTCCAGTCACCCTGATTACCTGCTTTTACTAGGGTTTTTGGTGCTACCTGCCATACGGCCAAGCACTTCTAAGAGCTGAATAATTAACCTAAAATCCTTACTTGCTTCAAATGAACACTGACAACTGGCTGCAATTTCCCAAAGAGAAAGAGGTGGAGGTGGGGGACACAATGTTTGTTAAGCTCTGCAGAGTTAGCTAATGTCAAAAGACAATCCTTCCAGAGAGGTGAGAAGATATTTTATCACAGCCTCCGAGATGAAGGGGAGATTCATTATGGTTACTAATGCTATTTCTGTCAATGTCTTTGGAATTCTAATTAGATTATTAAAACTTTGCAAATCGCTATGTTACATCTACATTCCACATTCCCTTCAACGAGGGTACTTTTGAAATTAGAGAATCCTGATGTCATAGGTAATGATGCATTGCCGATAATAAAGTTTCAGGGAAATTCCTACAATAAAAACCAGTTGGTAAAGACAGAACCCATTTATCTTCCTTCTCTCCCAGCTTTATGCCTGAGGGTAAGACGTCTGTTGCACAGAACAGTGACCTAGCTTTTTCCACTCCAGTAGCTGATGATGCTTGTTCACAGGTAGCAAAGTTTAATAATTTGTCACAGCTACTTAAATGTCTTCCCTAAATCGGAGAGGCAAATCAAAAAAATTTATAAATGAAAAACGGCCCGAAAGAGTATCTCTAGCAAAGATATGGCACAAGTGGCAGGTTCAATGCATATGGATAGTGCATCTTAGGGCATTCTGATTTATAACATATGCATTCCAAGTAGTACCTGAGGAGAAACAAATTGCTTACTGTTAACCCAGATCCATTTGCAGATAATAAATGGGCATGCTTTCTACCCATCAAATAATGGCTCTAATGCCCTTCAACATCACGTTTGAGGAATGGGTGTCACCCTCTGTGCTCTGTGAGATAACCCCGTTCCTTTTGGTGGAGATCTTAGCCCTTAACATCCCGGCAGAAGAAAGTATACATGGCTTACTTACCATGATGTACGACGCCCTTCAACCCATGGATAATAGGATCCAGAGCAGAATTGTTCCTTGGACTGACCTACATGTAAAGGAAACATGATTGGTTAAATCTATTCTGGCATCAGACACAAGAGTCTCAGTTTAATCTTCTAAAGGAAAGGAGGAGAATAGATGTTATCAAGGAAGCTGCTTAGGTCTCACATATACCATGGCTCTCACTGAACTAAGGAGATTGATGACATAATAAAATCAAGTGAGGAAGTCTAAATCAAAAGAAAGAAATTTCTCAGAATATATTTGAGCAGAACAGAAATACCATCATCATGGCAACATCTTAAGTTACAACTAAATGAATCTCTTGTTGCTTTGTTTTATTAAAAGTACACCCTGATTATCTAGAGTCATTGAGACACATCTGGGAACAATCCATCATAGACTAAAGATTTTAATACATTCTTCTTTTATGTTTTATGTTTTCTTTTTATGGGTGTGTGTAGCACTGAACAGTGCTCAGGACTTACTCCTGGCTCTGTGTTCAGGGATCACTTCTGCTCGGGGGACCATGTGAGGTGCTGGAGATTGAATCTATGTCAGTCACATGCAATCCAAGCACCTTGAGCCCCAATTTTTTAAAAAATAGTTTTTGAATCACACTTGGCTGTTCTCAGGGAACTTTTTAATGCGCAGGAAATCAATTCCAGATCAGCATACAGCTAATGCACCCTACCCACTGTACTCTCTCTCCAACTCCAGATCTCAGTAGCTACTGATGACTATATTTTTCTCTCTTCTTTTTAGAACATAGATCTATTTCACTTTCTAAGGATCCAAGTCCCCTGTACCTTACCATGTACCACAGAGAACATTTCTACAGATCAAAGTAGGGGAGGCAGGAAGAGGGTGGGAGCTGGGAAGACAGTAGTCTCTTGCTCCCATTTCCTTCTGAAGTTTAAATACCCCTAAAAGTTAGGTCTCTTTGATTTGAACCTTCACCCATTCTTTTATCAACCACCTGACACTACTTGGCATAACATTCCATACTTGTCTCCTTTATTAAAAATTGAGAATTCTTTCAACATTCTGTCTTCAGACACAATGAAATGGTTACAAATAAAATGACATGATATCTGAGGTTTGCTTCAAAAAAAATCTAGGCATGATAGCAGGGGTTTAGGGGCAACAAGACTGACCTCTGTTCAATCACTTACAATCTAGGCTGATGAGTTTCAGCATGTGGGTCAGGATACAACTTTCTCTATTCTTGTGTATGTTTGATTTTTTTCCCCATAACTTTTCCAAAATCCATTACTTGTGACCAGCATAGCTCCTAAATTTTCTCCCCAGAGATATTGTTTCTATTTGGTTCCTTTTAACACAAAAAACTGGAATCTTGACAAATCTTATTCAGTGTGTAGCAAGCTCAAATTTGTTTTGTTAGTTAACTTAGAAGAATTCTGGGCAATCATGGATTAAATTTTAAAGTAATGGAAACATTTCCACACTCAGCCTCCTTTACAGTTCTCCCCATGTTGGTTTATTAATCCTAGTTTTCTCTCTGGTAATAACCCACTGCCAACCCTCACAAATCTCTTTCCTCTGCCTCAGCAGGACCAGTTCTCAATAAGAAGTACTTTTTGTGTCCCTATCACACCTCACACTGAGGGAACTCAACCATATTCTGAAACACTTTTTTGTTGCTACAAATAAGGATGGATGTGGGGCAAAGTTGGGGGGTGGGGCAGGAGGGGTGCTGGCACCAGGTAGGTAAAAATAGGGCTCATATAAGCATTTTATAACAGAACAGAAATCAAAGCAAAAAATTACCTGGCCAAGATGTAATTGAGCTGAAGCTGAGACATGAATCCTGGATTGAAAAGATTCTCTGAGTTTAAGTTATTGGTATTAATGTCTGGACCTCTGAATTATGACTAAGTTAAAATATGGGTATGAGTCCATACGGTGCATGCTTATAAACTAATGAAATGATGTAAAATCTGATACTTCATTGTTGCATACAGTACCAATAGTCATTTTTGTTTTTGCTCTTTTTTTGGGGGGAGGGTCACACCTGGCGATGCACAGGGGTTTCTCCTGGCGGTGCTCCAGGGGACCATATGGGATGCTGGGAGTCGAACCTGGGTCGGCCACGTGCAAGGCAAATGCTCTACCCTCTGTGCTATCTCTCCAGGCCCTCATTTTTGTTTTTGTTGTTTTAAGTACAGTGAATAGGAACCTAGATTATTAGATTCCAAAGGTGTAATTCTAAGAGTTGGCATAGATAATATCTCGGCATAGATAATATCTCTGTATTTTCTGACTGAAAATTTCTAGCTTTGGGCTTAGAATACTGGCTGAACCATGATATTTCTTTAAAGACAAAAATCACAGAATATAACAAAATTTTAAAAAAAATCTTACCTCTATCATGTACTGAAGATAAAAAAAAATTCACTTGGTCAAAAATAACAATTTCAAGAGTCTACCAATAAATGTGGTCAAATTTTTTTTTTTTTTTGAGGATATACCTGTCATTGCTTGGAAGCTGCCTCTGGCTCTGTGTTCAGAGCTCACTCCTGGCAACACTTGGAAAACCATATGTGGTGCTGGAGATTGAACTGGGACGGGCCCCATGCAACCTCAACATCTGTACTACTTCTCTTTTCCCAATGTCGCCAAATTTTAAAAGTGATGGAATAAAGTAGGAGGCCAGAAAATTACCTCATTTTAAGTTGAAGTTATAGACAAAAAAGGAGGGTACCCTTTTCACTTTCCAAAATCAGTCTGTAAGGGATATTCATACTGTATCTGCAGCAAGTGGCTACATGGTCACAAAGTCTTGCTGGTCATCCTTATCATATGTATCTTTTCCATCTGATTTTGCCCTTCCTCTCATTGCATGCACCGATCAGCTCTTCCACTCTCTGAAATTGGACTTGACTACGTGGCAGACTTGGGCTAATGAGACATTAAGAGGCATGGTGCAGGCAATATATAAAACATAAAGGCAGAAGTTTATGGTCCCTTGTTACTCTTTTAAATACCGTGATCACCGGGCCAGAAAAATAGGACAGTGCTTGCCTCGTAAACATGCTTGACCTGGGTTCGATCCCTGGCAGCCCATATAGTTTCAGAGCCCACCTGGAGTGATTCCTGAGTGCAGAGCAAGGAATAACCCTGCACACTGTCAGGTGTGGCCCCTCAAACAAACGAACAAAAAACAAACAAAACATCTCTACTGAGATGGACAGTGAAGAATGCAGGCTAGCATACAGATGAACGACAAAATGAATAGACACAGACAGATCCGGTTAAGGTCGCTCAAAACCCGTTAGCCTACCAACTACCAGACAATTGGTAAATAAGTCAAATCAAACCATGCAGCTTTAGTTGAACAGCACTGAGTCTAGCAGAAATTAGCTAAGTTGGACTTGACGACAATAACTCTACAGAATTAGCAAGAATTCAAATTATAGTTGTTCCAGTAACTAAATAAAGTCATTTAACACAAAGTGAACCTTTACTTTATAAAGTTTCTGAGAGTGTGAGTGTATATGCAGTGGTGGAGGATGTGGAAGCGGGGGGAAAGGTTTTGTTATCAATAGTTTTTATAATCAATACAGCTAGATTATTATTCATCCTAAACTTTTCTCAATGAAAATCCACATCAGAGAACACAGAATGTGCTGTCAATTTTAACAACTCAGAAACTTCTCAGAAAGTGTGCTTGCTAGCTTTCTTCTACCAGGCAACATTTCAGAGATATTCATCTATGATTCAAATGACTGGAAAATGCATTACAGTATTATCTGATGATGTGAAAGAAAGAAAATGATTCTAATTCTTTATCATTTACACTGAATTATAACACTAGTAGCTGATGTAAAAGAAACCAATCCAGGTTCAATTGCTGGCCATGTGTGGCAACAAAATCTCTGTGTTTGGTTATCTAGGCCTGGACTCCGTGCCTGACCCTAGATTCTAAGGAACCTACAAATAAAAGGTGTCAACAATGCCCATTCATGTCCACATTCTCTACTGTTAGTTTATTTGGCTGGGGTCAAGATGATGGATAAGGATAAAGAAAGAGAAAAATGGAAACTACTGGTTTGTCAATAACTTATTGATTAATAATATTGACCTCCACTCTCCAGTCTTTTTCTTGGTTTCAAAATTTAGGGTAGAGAATTAAAAAAAAACATGCTAATAAGTGCGTTTGTTTTAGGTAACTCAGAAGATTTGCTAAATTAATCTCTTCCACTCAATGTTTTATTTTGTCACATATTAAAAAAATGGTGAGTATAAGCAAAATCATTTGAAGAATTCTGAAATATATCTGTAATAGAAGCTTGATTTAGTACAGTGGTTTTATCTAGGTTTTGTGAGCATGGCTGAAGTGCTAAGCAAGAGTGAAAGAAAATGGAAGTCTGGGTCAAGGATGATCTTGAAAGAATTCCAACATCCTCATCTGTAAAATGGGGATATGATCTCATAACGCTATTGTGAGAAATAAATGTGTAAAGGTTTGAATATAATGCTGAGTACAAATACAACATTAAGTAGAAAATGGATATTGTTGGGCAACAACTTGACCCAAATACTCAAATTAAATGACTACCAAAACAACATCAATTTTATCCCTGAACTTCTCAAAGCACTTGGCTCTAGATGTAACATCTACTTGAGTGAGAATTTCAAAAGATACAAATTCATGTTTTATTTGACATCCACTCAATTTCATAATAAGCTGCTTTTTTTCAAAGTCACATGAGGAATTTTTCTGCCTCTTAAATTTGCTTCCTTCCACTTTAAGATCAAAGGAGTTGCATAGGATTACTGCAAAGGCAGCAACTGTACCAAAGGAGCTTAAAATGCAGTGAGGCCGGATGGAGTGGGGTGGGGTGGGGAGGGGGAGGATGACATCCCTGTAACCTGCAGTATTTGTGCCCTCATCACAAAACTTAGCTCCTAGCACTTCCATTTCAGAGCTGCTTCTGTGGCATTCAAAAGGCCAGCACAGAGAGGTGACAGAGGGGCATCTAGTCAAAAGTTATTATGCCGCCTCTGGACACAACCAAAATA